GCAGCAGATCCCACGGGCACACAAACGGCTGTGAAAAGCCAGGCTCTGCAAAGACTCAGCTCGGCCCGGTACCGGACGCCAACCGGCCACCACCGGCCTTCCCAAACGCTCATTGGACCCTGTCTTCATTTCTTATTTTTTAAGAAGTTAAAACAATATATGTTGTTTTCAACCAAGGTGCAATTCATGTGGCCTAAAATGAACCATTCTACAGTGGACAATCCAGCGTCATTTAGCACATTCACAAGGTTGTGCAACCAGTACTTCTACTTCTAGAACATCCCATCAGCACCCCAAAGAAACCACATCCTCATCAGCAGTCACTGGCAACCCTGAATCCGCTTTCTGGCCCTGGGTTCCCTGTTCTGGACACTTCACATCTGGCCCCTCTCACTGAGCATCACGTGCCCGAGGTCAACCTCGGCGCAGCAGGTATCAGCGCTTTCATGGCTGAGGAACATTCCAGTGTGTGAGTGGGCCGTGTTTTGTGTGTCCTTCACCCACCAATGGACATTTGGGTTATTTCCACCTTTCGGCCGCTGTGAATAGCACTGCTAGGGACAACTGTGTGTAAGAATTTGTTTGAGTCCCTATTTTCCATTCAATCTGGGGCAGATACCCAGGAGTGGAGCGGCTGTGCTGCCTTCATTTCACACACCAGCCACAAGCAACCTCAGTCTACATGGGAGGTGCCGGTGCACTTTGCACATGCTATTCCCTCTACCCAGGAGTCACCCTTCCCAGTAACTCTTGTCTCCCTCACCTGGCGGAAGCGAGCAGTCCCGTGACGCTTGTATCGGATCCAGTACTTGAGTGAGAAGATATCTGGGAAGGGCCAGGACCTGGGAGGTTCCCACTGCACCCACAGCCGCTGCCCATGGAGGAGGCTCAGGCGTACACCTTCTGGAGGGTCTGGTTTGACTGACAGATAAACAAGAGACAGTCAGCAGAGTGTAGTTTCATTCATTCATTCACTCATTCATTCATTCAAACAACAAATAAATATCGACAGTCTACTGAGTGTCCAGAACATAGCAGTGACCAGCAGAGACCCAACTCATGTCCTTTTGGAGCTCAGTCCACAGGACAGAAGGCAAGAGACAAGGAGCAAACCCACTGATCACAGAGTAGGAAGAAAGTTCAGGAGTGCAAGGGAGGGAGTGGTTTGCAGTGTTTTTTTAAGACATAATTCACATGCCACAAAACTCACCCTTTCAAAGTATACAGTTGGTGGTTTGTAGCACACTCACAGTTGTGAATCACCACTATTTAATCGGGACATTCTCATCACCCCAGAAAGAAATTCCATACCCATGAGCAGTCAGTCACCCTTCCCTCATTCCTGGCAGGGACGGGGCCGGGCAGGCTGGGCAGGGCCCTGCAGACTTGGGCCTTTACCCCATGAGAGGTGGGAGCTAGGGGCTGTGAGCAAAAGCGGGGCATGACTAGGGTAACCTGACTAGGGTGATCATGGGTACGCTCTGGTGCCTGCTCCAGGAAAAGCATCCTTTGGGGCTTCTGGGAAAAGAGGGTGGGAACAAGAAACCAGGGAGGACAGTGGTCCAGGTGGGTCGGACCGGGTCATGAGCTTGGACTTGGAAGTTCAGGAAGGGGAGAAAGTGGGCAGATTCTCGACTGACTGTGAAGGTCGAGCCCACAGGATCCATGACAGAGGACAGGACTGGGTGATGGATGGAAGATGGGCAGGTGAGGGGGAAGAGCAGGAAAAAGCTGACAGCCCTCTGCACCCCCCACCACAGCACCCACTCACTGATGTGCTCTGGAACAAAGGCCACAAAGCTGCTGCTGACGCCCCAGGCGTGGACGGCCGTGATGTTCAGCATGTAGGGCACCATGGAGAACATTCGGATGTCTGGGATGGTGCAGCTGGTGGCTTCTGGTGTCGGCTGCGGGCAGGGATGGCTCTCCCCATGGGCGGCCACACCAAGCCTGGATATGGGATGGGCACTCTGATGGCCTCAGCACTTCCTGCTGGCTGGTCTTGTGCCTGGGACCCCGTGACCCCAAGTGGGGACAGCCAGTGGAGGATCCCTAGTCCAGGGTCCTGCTCATGTCTCTGTGAGACCCTGGGGGAGGCATTCACCTGACATCGCAGGGCCCACAGTGACCCAGGGCTTGGGAGAATTCCAACATTCTGAAGTCTACAGATTCACAGATTCTGGAATCTGAAAGAGGAGGATTCTGATACTCTCCATTTATGAGGCCCCAAGATTTTATTTATTTTTAGAGAAAGGGGAAGGGAGGGAGAGAATCATCAATTAGGTGCCTCTCGCACACCCCTAACTGGGAACCTGGTCCACAACCCAGGCATGTGTCCTGAGCAGGAATCGAACTGGCAACCTTTCAGTTTGTGGGCCAGTGCTCAGTCCGCTGAGTCACACCGGCCAGGGCATGAGACACGCTCTCCCTCTGAGATTTTAGACTTTGGAGGCTTGAGCTCAGTGCCATCCGCAGAACTTCCCACAACGTTCCCAATGCCCCGTTTCCACAGTGTCAGCTGCAGCAGCCATTAGCCGCCTGTGGCTGTCAGGCACCTGAAATGCAGCCAGCACAGCTGGGTGTGACTGTGACGTTTAATTTATTTTATCTAATCTAAATGTAATGTTTCCAGTGATCAAGAAACTTGCAAAAGTTGTTCAGAACAAGTTGGTTGTGTGAGTTTACTGCTTCAACTGCAAATTTTATGAAATCCAATCAGAGATCAAGAATTTCTGATGAAAGTCTATTATCTGAATTGAAACACATTATATGTATAAAGTCCACATAGAATTCTGAAGGCTTAGTATAAAAATGAGTAAGAACATAAAATATCTGTTAATTTTTTAAATGATTACATATAGAAACAATATTTTAGCTATCCCTATTAAATATTAGTTTCCATTCCAAATTTATATATATACATTGTATGATAAGCACATTCAATTATATTATGCTCAATCATATTAAAAGAGAAATATTTGGAATATATATTTAAATAAAATATTAAAATTAATTTTACCTATTTTTTGTTTTGTTTTGTTTTCCTTCTTCTCCTCTTACTTTTTAAATGTGATATCTAAAAAACTTTAAACTACACGTGTGGCTTGAGGCAGGTATTATAGGAAGTATATTTCTACAGGAATTTTTGTTGCCCCTGAATTCAGAGCGTTTCGGATTAGCCTAAGTCTGCAGTTGTCCGACCATAGGGGCGGCAGGCCCAGCTGAGGAACCTCCAGGAAGCCCCTCCAAGGCTCTCTGACCTGTACGTGGCAATGACAGAAGTGGGCCTGGTGGAGTTTGCAGCAGCCAGCAGGGTCCAGAAGCAATCCACGGCAATCGGGTACCTAAAGGCCCAGCACCACACCCTGGGCTGGGAGGGAACTGCTGGGGGCAGAGGGAGGAGCGTCAGACCTTGATCCACCCAGGACTGCGGTGCCCTGCCATGGGTTTGTCCCACCCCATTGCCAGCCAGTGCCAGGCATACAGTGGGTGCCCAATAAAGGTTTGTAGAATGAATGAGTATACGGATGACAGGTACTTAGGTCATCTCTCACCCCCATTACAACCTGCAAAGGAGGAACTATTGGCTCATTTTCTAGATGGGGAGGCTGAGGTTTAATAAGCCACAGAGAAGACCTGGGAAGTGCGGCGGAGCCCTGAGGGGAGTGAGATATTTTACCGTATTCCCTGTTACAGCTTTGTTTCCAAGCAGATGAAATGAATGCATGCCGTTAACCCCCACCCACCCCACCCCACCCTGTGACTCTCTCTCTCCCCCCTGCCCCCCACGGCTGTGGCTGCCACTACCTGGTGTCATTTTGGGGTAGGACTCATCTTCTCTGTGCCTGACTTTCCTCATCTGTGCAATAGGATGGCGGCCCTCTCCCACCAGGGGGCATGCATGCAGGAGGTGTGTGAGCTCTCACGCCACCCCAGAATGTCCCACAGCAGATAAAGTCCAGTCCCCAGACTGGCCCTGGCCACCCACAGCCCCAGGGGTCCATCATACCTTCTCTCCCACTGCAAGATGAGTAGCCAGCCCAGAGGGCAAGGGCCAGGAGGAGGCTTGGGGCCATGGTTCTGGTGGGCTCTGCTTTCAGGAGCTGGGGCAGGGAGCACCCCTGGGGAGGCAGGACACTCAGACCCACCTGGGGAACCGGCCTCTGTTGAGGCCCCCCACTTCCCCTTCTCTGGGTCTGACTCACTGGCAGGTGGTGGGCCCAGGAGAGTCAAACAGGGACGGTGGAGGAGCCTCAGTTCGCTTACCGGCCACCCTGGGACACAGCGCGGAAGGCTCTGAGGATGGGGGCAGGGAGAAGAGGCCTCGAAAGGGAGAAGTGGAGACCCTGTGGCCTTTCCCAGCATAGTCAGTCCTTCCTTCCGGCTGCAGTGAGCAGGGGCTGGGGAAACCCCGGGAGGGGGATGATGACATGGAGGAAGACAGAGACAAGGACAGGATGGGAGAGACAGAGAGAAATCCAGGGAGACTCAGCAGAGACAGAGAGGAAAGGAGACAGAGAGAGAAGAGAACTAGACACAGATGAGAGAGGCAGAGGCAGAGACAGGGAGAGGAAAGAGAAACAGACAAGACACAGAGAGACAGAGACACAAAGAGAGGAGCCCAGAGACTGAGACAGAGGCAGACAAACATCTAGGAAAAAAGAATAGATAGGGACGAGAGACACCCAGATATCTACACAGGAGACTCCCATTCACTCAGCGACCACAGCGATGGGGTCCCACACTTTCCGGCCACACTCCACACCCCTGGCCACAGAGACACAGAAACCAGACCCTGGGGAGGCAGCCCCCACCCCACCAAGGACATTCTCCTAGCAGTGGGGATGCCCAGGACCAGGCTGGATAGTGGGGGCATTCACAGCCATGGTCATCCCCACTCCCTTAGCTGGAAAGAGCTGAGAACCCCCTGGGGATTTCAGGGAAGTTGCCCAGGGACCCGGAGGTTGAGGGTGGGACTCTCCCTCCCAGGGGCCCAGTTTAGGGTAAGGAAAGTGAGGTAAGCGCAGGCTTGGCTCCTTCACTTAACACATGGATGTTTTGTTCATTGTGAACTTTTTAGCAGCCATTGTGCCTTTTTCAAATGTTGCATCAGCACCGTGTTCATCTTGGGGACCGAGATTTTGGTGTGGGAGGGCTGTGCTCATTCTCCTTGCCCTGATCTTTAAGATCTACTCTGAGCCACTCCCTCCCCTCCTTGCAGTGGGAGCCCAGCAATCAGGCCACACACTTTTCTCTGCTCCATGAGTTTTATTCCTGGGGTGGCATCTGGTGACAGGAGTGAGGGGACTCACAGATTCTCTGACGAGGGGTGGGCATGGTTAGGGCCTGAGTGATAAACAGCCAGCCAGGGACAGTCGGGAGGGCCAGGCGGACGGATCGCATCTCCGAGTTCAGAAGATCAGTGCCTGAGCCCCAGTGTGCCCCATGCAGAGCCTGGCGGCAGGGGTCAGTGTTCCGAGGCTTAGCGCCCCTGAGCCTGGAGCCTCTGCATCTGTAGGATCTGGCTCAGAATCCGTTGCACATCTTCGTCCATCTGGCCCTGGGGTGGGGGGAGCAGAGGGAGACCTGGGTGCCCCACCACTGTACAGATGGGGAAACAGAGGCCCAAGAGCAGCCAGTGGTACAGCCAGAGCCAGGGCTGACTCACCTGAATGGCGTACAGGAGGTGGCTCCTATACAAGGCCACCACCGCGCTGTGGTCCCTGGCAGCTTCCTGTATATGGTGGAGGGGCACTCAGAGAAGCAAAACACCCCCAAGACACCAAATGATCCCCTTTGCACCCTGAGCCCCTATTTTGATGGCATGGACCAGTGTGGCAGTGCCGGTTGACAAAATATTGCAACATTTTCCTCCCACACCTGGCACGTTGGCCCCAGGGCCCCGTGCCCCACCCCAGCCCTCTCCCGGCTCCCCGTGTGTGCCCAGGGCAGCTCTCACCTCCAGCTGCCCCTGGAGAGCCTTCACCTGCCCACGGAGGGCCTCCACCTCGGGGCTGCCTGGGGCTGCTGGCTGGCCCTTCAGCGCTTCTTTAAGACTGAAGACCTCCTTGGAGAGCTCTGTGATCTGGGGCGGGAATGGGAGGTGTCAGCTGTCGCCTGGCCACCCTGAGGCCAGGGCTGGAATAGCAGCGGTAAGGAAGATGGGAAGGGGCTTGCAAGGGAAGGTCACATCCTAGTGGCTAGCAAACTCTGGCCCGTGGGCTAATAATGGTCAGAGGATTAAAAGTCAAAAGGACAAATGTTATTTTGTGGATCATGAACATTATATCGAATTCACATTTCCATGTGCATACATAAAATTTTGTTGGTGGGTGGCCACGCCCATTCGTGTTCACATCACCTGTGGCTCCTGCTGCAATGGCAGACCTGAGCCAAAAACGCCGCCTATGGGGCCCTTCACGGTGAAGGCTGACCCTGCCACACCCCCTCTCGGAGTCTCTGCAAAGGGAAGACTGATGGAACTGGGGGGCAGTCAGCCTGGGGGAGCTGTGTCAGAAAGCAGGGGTTTGGGTCCCTCTCTAGGTTTCCTCATCTGTGAGGTAAGAATAACCATGGTTCTCACAAGTTAACTGATTCTGACTGGTGATTAAGTTTAAACTGCTTAGCACTCAGTCAGTGCTGAGCTTTATTATTATTTCTGTAGATCAGAGGTTCTCAGTCACAGGCCATTCTGCCCCCAGAGGACACTTGGCAATGTCCGGGGCTGCTCCTGGAATCAAGTGGGGGGGGGGGTCAGGGATGCTGCTCAACACCCCAAAGCGCCCAGGACACCCCCACAGAGAGCACTGCCCCTGAATGTCACTAGTGCTAAGAACGAGGAAACCTGCTGCAAGTAAAGCATAACCCCTACTGTCATTTTATCTTCATTTTACAGAGGTAGAAATGGGCACTCAGAGAGGTCGAGTGACTTATCCAACGTCACAGAGCAAGTTGTGTCTGGGTGACTCTTTGCACTGAAGTGCCTGGGGCTCTCAGGGTCACATTCACTGTCCGGGACATGCTGTGGGACTTTGATCTGTTCGCTTTGCCTCTCAGAGCCTCATTTTGCTCATCTGGAAGGTGTAGATAAAAATGCTTTCTGCTGTTTGGGTTGTGAGATTAAAAATGATGGTATGTGAAAAAATGGCTGAGTCAATAACCAGAGGCCTCTGTTATCATTATGCTTACTATTTAAGAAAAGAACTTGGGCTCTGGCTGGTGTGGCTCAGTGGACTGAGTGCCAGCCTGCAAACTAAAAGGTCACCAGTTCGATTTTCAGTCACGGCACATGCCTGGTTTGAAGGCCAGGTCCCTGGTTAGAGGTGTGTGAGAGACAACCGATCAATGTATCTCTCACATACTGATGTTTCTCTCCCTCTCCTTCTCCCTCCTTTCCCCTCTCTCTAGAAATAAATAAATAAAATCTTAAAAAAAAAAAAAGAAAAGAACTTGGGAACTTGGGTTTGAACCCTGGAGGAACCACTGCACAGCTACGTAACCTCGGGCAAGAGGCTTCCTCTCTCTGTGCCTCAGTTTCCTCAAATGGGGATAATACAAGCGCCAATTTAATTGGAACTTAATATGAGGATTAGATGCATTATCCATGTCAAACGTGCAGCACAGGGCCCGGCATGCAATAAGCGCTCAGTAAACGTTACTGTGGCAGTAATTAGTAGTCGGAACAGTGGCCTGTCTGTATGTCTGAGTTGACCCCATCCTTTTCCTTGCCTCAGACTCCTACCTGGAAAATGGGCTCATTTCCCAGAACCCTTTTAGCTGGGACATTTCTTGGATTCCTGCCAACCTCTGTTGAGTGGGGGCCCTGACCAAGTATAGGAAAAGGGGACCCACCTTCTTGTCCTTCTCTTTGGCCCTGTCCAAGGCCTCCTGGGCACGGCTCTGGGCCTGGCGCGCTTTCTCAGCCTCGGTGCGCAGTCCCCGTAGCTGCTGCTCTGCCGTAGCTAGCTGGGCCTCGGCCGCATGCCGTTCACTCTTCATGAATAGTGCCTCGCGCTGCACCTGTGGCCCAAGCCAATGTGTGACCCTGAAAACACTTGGACCCCAAAGACGTCTGGACCCTACAGGTCCTCTGACCCTCTATTTTGACCTGAGGACATTTAAGCCCATTTTGACCTTAAGGAGTTTGACTCAGGAAGTTCTCAATTCCCCAGGGTACTATGAACATTTTCACCCTGCCAAACACCTCTGATCTGCTAGCTGTGTTGCCACAGACTTAAACTCTCTGTGTCTCAGAGACACAGAGGACTATAAAATGAGGATAATTATAGCCCCTTATTTCACAGGGTGGTTATGAGGATAAAATGAGCAAATACATGGATATGCTTGTAACAGTGCCTGGCACACAGTAACCGCTCTAGTTGAGTTGCTGATATTATTATTATTATTATTATTACCACTAATGTTCTTTCCTCTGCCAGTGGTTGAAGGTAGACTTCTTAAAAAATGAATGAAAAACAGAATTTGGATGAAAAGCAAACAGATGGCCAAAAGTTGGTGACTGCATTTTTACAAAAATGTCAAGATCAGAGAGCGATGTTAGATTTGCAAGAATTGACCCTGGGCAGGCAGGTAACACCTGCCTTTATAGAAATAGCAGCTCCAGAAAAAAGTAGACAATAATTAGATGTTACAATGAGTATAGATTGGTCATACATGAACAACTTAAATACATCCTAAACTGACTGATACATCAAACCAGACTTGTAAAGTCTACCTGAAAAACAAGTGATCGTGAGCAAGGCGAAAACTGAGGACATCCATGCAGATGGCTATACTTAGGCTGGGTTGGGATCAAGGGCCCAGCCCGTTTAAAAGGGGGTGTTCTTGGAAAAATACCCATTCTAGTTGTCATTTATAGATTGCCTGTATCATCACTGTCCTAAGTAGCTAACATAAATTAAACCACTTATTTCTACATAAGGATTAGAAACTATTACAGTCCCCATTACATGGGTGAGTAAACAAGCTCAGAGAGGAATTTGCTTTCCTGGCAAGTGATGAATATAGCTTCTTATTTACATACTTGCTAAAACAGTTCCCAGTTTTGTTTTGTTTTTTAATTTAAGAAAAAAGGTGGAGTCAAAAGGTCCACTCTCAAGGACTAAATAAATATTCCCTGGGTTTAAAAAAAAAGTCAGCATCAAAATCTACTGGGTTCAAAATGAGATCAAAGACCCCTGTGCATGATGTTCTCTTCCAGAACGGGCTGGAGCATCAACATAATCAGAAGCTAAAGTGACAATCTCAAAAGAGGCAGCTGGGAAAAAAAAATGTAGAATCATTTTGACCAGCAGAGAAAATGGACACTTGGTAAAAACATCAGGGGAAAACCCCTAATTCATTGCTTGCAAAAAAAAGAACTTGGGGTTCTGACTGGCACAGCTCAGCTGATGGAGCCAAGTGAAAGGTCACTGGTTCAGCTCCGGTCAGGGCACATGCAGGGCTGCGGGTTCCGGTCCCTGGTTGGGGCGTGTGTGAGAAGCATTCGATCTGTTTGTCACACGCACTGATGTCTCTCTCTCTCTTCATCCCTCCCTTCCCCTCTCTCTAAATAGATAAATCAAATTTTTGCAAAATTTTTTAAAAGTGAACTTGGGGAGATGAACACACAATACAATTACACACTTGTACACCTGAAGCCTATATAATTGTACTAACCCATGTCACAGGCCTGGGTTGTGGGCCACGTCCCCGTCAGGGGCATGCAAGAGGCAACCAATAAATGCTTCTCTTGCACATCGATGATTCTTTCCCTCTTTTTCTTCCTCCCTACCCTCTCTAAAAGTTAATAAATAAAATCTTCAAAAAAAATAAAAAAAGAAAACCTATGAGAATTCCTCCATGACTTTGGGGTACAAATACATTTTATAAATGTATTCCAAAAAGTGCTAACCATTAGGAAAAAATGATGAGGTCAAAATGGCCAAAAAGTTTTAAAGAAGAAAACACAAACAAAATAAAATAAAAGAAAAGGAAAGGAAAAAAAGAAGAAAATGCAAGTGGAAACCTTCAGGAGGTCAAAATGGCTGCAGGGTCAAAAAGAACCTGGAACCACTGGCAGGGTGAAGGGTCTGCAGCACTGAAATCTATGGAATTGGGACACCTCTTGGCTGTAGGGTCGAAACAGATGACCCAGTGGCTGCAGGGTGTGCCCGGTGGGGGGCCCAGCCAAGCTCACCTGGAAGACCTCAGCACTGGTCTTCTCGTGTCGGCGTCCTAGCTCCTCTAGCTGCCCCTCCAGCCGGGTCACTTCGGCCTGCAGTGTACCCACTATGCGCTCATGCTCCAAGCGGGCCACGCTGCCCACACGTTCCCGTTCCAGCTCTGCCCGCAGCCGGGCAGCCTCCTTGCCCGTGGCCACCACCTCCTGCTCCAGGCTGGCCGCCCGGCCCCTCAGCTCCAGGGCCTCCTCCTGCAGCCGGTGATGCTCCGAGGCTGGCACAGCGGACTGGCGGAGCACCTCTGAGGCCTCTCGCAGCTCCGCCAGGCCTTGCCGAGCCTCCTCACAAGCAGCGGCCAGCGCAGCAGCCTGGGCCTCGGCTGCATCCCGAGCCTGGCCCAACTCGGCAGCTGCTGCCCGCTGCTGTTCCTCAGCGGCCTTGGCGGTGGTCAGCTGCTTCTGCAGCACTTCCAGCTCCCGGATTTGCTCCAGTCGCACCTCCTCCCGCTGGGCCAGCTCTGCCCGCAGGCCCCGAGCCTCCTCCTCAGCAAGCAGCCTGCCAGCCCGGGCCTCATCCAGCCAGGCCGAGGTGGCCTCTAGCTCCCGAAGACGGGAGTCCCGGTCCCGGAGATCCTCCCGGGCCTGCTCCAGGGCTGCCCTAAGTTGGACCGTGTCACTGCTGCCTCCACCGCCAGCCCCACCACCCTCAGCCTCACATACCCGCTCAGCCTCCGTAGCCTCCCACTTGCCACGGGCTGCCTCCAGCTCGTTGGCCGCCTCCCTTTCCCGCTGCCAGAGGGCCTCCTCCAAGCCACGAATCCTCATCTCCAGCTCAGTTTGTAGCTTTTCGGAGGCCTCGGCGGCACCAGGGTGTAGAACGGGGCCCGTGGGGACCCTAGGAGTGGTGGCCTCCATGTCCACGGTCTCTGCGCCTGTGAGCTGTCCGTCCACAGCGCCCTCTCCATTGGCCTTGATTTCTGGTTCCTCTGCTTTCCTATTTGTGGCCTCTGCTCCCGTGGCCTGTGTTTCCAGGTTTCCTCCTTCTAGATCTTTCATTTCTGTGACCTCAGCCCCTGTGGCCTCGGTACCCAGGGCTGTGGCTCCTGCACCCTCTGTTTCCACGGCCTGAGTGTCCATAGGTTTTGTTTCCATGGCCTCAGTCCCTATAGATGCTGCTTCCAAAGTCCTGGCTCCTGTGGTTTCAACTCCTGCAGCCTCCTCATCTGTGGTCTCAGATCCATTAACTTTGTTTTCTGGAGCCACAGAGCCATCAAGCTCCATTTCTGTTGGCCCATTTCGGGTGGTCTTGGCTCCTGTGCCCTTGCACTCCCCAGGGGCCACCTTCTCTTCTCTAGGGGTCCCTTGTACTTCCCGCTGCTCCAATTCCCGCACAGCCTTGGCGTGCTGCCTGCGCAGCTGGTCAAACTCAGCCCGCAGGGAGTCATAGAGGGCCAGGGGGACGACCTCGGCTGAACCATTTGCCTCCATTTCATCCTTCTCAAAGCTCTCCAGGATCTGGGTGGGGGCGGGGTGGGAGCCACAGGGAACTGAAGTGGCTGTAGAGGCACAGGGCAGTCTTGCCACCTTCCCCACCCACAGGCTCAGCCACGTGTCCACCCCAAAACCCTGGGGGACAATCCCTCACATCTGTCTCCAGCCCACTACCCCAGGCCTCAGTTTCCCCACCTGAACCTTCTCCATAAGCTCCTGGTTCTGTCTGGTGAGGGCATCCACCTGTTCCTGCAGCGAGGCCAAGAGCTCCTGGGCTGACGCGCTTAGCTGCTTGGAGAGCAGCGTCTGGGCCCCTGGCAGGGGCACGGAGTCAGACCCTGGGGTCCCAAGCCACGGGGAATGGAAGCTGGGGTCTGGAGCAGCGCTTTGGGGCCCCCGGGGCATGTGAAATAAACAACAAGTGAGGGCCAACCTTCCTTTCAGCTTCAAACTCTCCCCATGCCTGTGGGTAAAAACTCCATCCCCTGGGACCCCAGGGACCAGGTGGGTGGGAGTGCATGGGGGGAGGACAAGGTAGGGGCTCACCTGGCAAGTCGGACAGCTCACCCTCCTCATCCTGCAGGGTGGCCACATCATAGCTGGTGTTCTCCCGCTCATTCTGGTGGGGGGCAATGTCTGGCTTGAGTCCAGCCCCCCTCCCAACCTCGTCCCCCCAGGAATCTAGAGTGGACAGCGGTTCATGGGTCTGTCTGACTCACAAATATTCACTGAGTGCCTACTGTGTGCCTGGGATATGCCAGGCTACCAGAAAGACTAGCAAACGGCCCCATCACTGACTGAGTGTGTGACTACAACCCCGACGCCTGGGGCCGTACACGCAGCCTGGACACGTGGGACTGCGGGAGGGGCGGCGGGGCACACCTCACGAGGGCGCGTCTGCGCCGTGTGAGGCTGCAGCCTGCAGTGAGCACGTGTGTGCCGCGCATGCGTGCTCCTGTGCGAGTTCCTGTGATGGTGTGTGATTCTGAACTAAAACACCGACTTGTGTTTCAGTCTGTTGTGTGTGGGGTTGCGTTTTGCGTGTGTATGAATATGTCTGTGTACTTACGTACTTTGTGAACTGTATGTATGTGTATTTGTGGGTGTACCGTCTGTATGTGATTGAATGAGAAGTGTTTGTTGTGTGCATGTATTTGTAAGGAGTGTGATTGTGCTTTTATGGGCTGTTTGTTGTCCATTTGCCTGTTGTATGTGTAACACTACATGCTGGGAGCATGGCCATCCATCTCTGTGTGTATGTGAGTGTGTGGGATTGTATATGTTGGTAAATGTCCATTATGTGTGTATTATCTGTGTGTGATTGTATTTGTGTTTGTTGCGTGCGAGACTGTATGCATATTAGTGTGGCTGTCATGTAACTGATTTGAGAGGCCCCTCCCCTGAGGGCCCCACCCCCACTGTCTACCCAGCCCACCTCCAGCAGGGACAGCCGACTCTGCAAACTTTCCACCTCCCTTCCCAAACTCTCCTTCTCCTCTTGCTTCTCTGCCAGCAGCTGCTGTAGCTCTTGCACCTGGAGGAGGGTGGCGGAGGCTCAGCCTCCAGGAAGAAACATGGGACAGCTGGGAGGGCTCTCCCCTGACCTTCCGCCTACCTGTCTCTCCAGGCTGTGAAGGGAGCTGGCCTCCGCCTCTGGCAGCTTATGAAAGAAGCAGGGACAGGACTTGGATCTGGGCTGGGGGCCTCCCTGGCCCACTTCCTGCTTAGCAGCCCTCCCTCCCAACCACAGACACCCACTGTGCCCCTACTGCACACCCAGCACTGCTCTGCCTGCCCATTCATTACTAAGTGCTTATTGAGTGCCTGCTTTGTGCCAGACCCCATTTTTGACCACTAATTCATTCATTCATTCAGTCAGTCACTCACTCAAATATTTGTCCATCCTATAAATATTTATCAAGCATCTACTGTGAGCCAGGCACCATTAACTATGCCTTCCCTCGTGGGCTTACAATCAAATGGGTGAACAAGAATAAAATATATAGTATGCCCAACAGCAGTAAGTGCTTTACATAAAAATAAAGGGGACTGGGAAGTGAATGAAAAAGAGTGTTGCAAACTTTTCATATTTTAAATACGATGGGCAGGAAAAGTGTATTTGACAGGGGGTCTTCGAGCAAAGACCTGAAGGAGGTAAGCAAGGGAGCCATGGAGAGATCTGAGAGAAGAGTGGTCCAGGCAAAGGGCACAGCACATGCAAAGGCCCTGAGGCAGGATCATGCCTGGTGTGTTGGAGGAACAGTGAGGAGGCCTATGAGGCTAAAGCAGAGCAAGTGAGGGGAAGAGAGAGAGGTGACAGTGGGCAGGTAGAAGCAGTCTTCTCCCCAGAATTCACCCCACCCCAGTCTGAGGGCCACCCCTGCGTCCCTGCTGCTCCTCACCTCCTGCTTCCTCCGTTCCTGGTGCTGCTCCAGGCCCCGGATCTTCTGAAGCAGGCGGCCCCTCTCCTGCCGCAGCCTCACGATCTCCTCGTAGGCCTCGCGATCATCCTGCTCTCCCAACCCCAGCACCCACCACTTTCACATGAGGCTCAAGGGCTGTCCCACCACGTACCTGAGCAGGAGCTTCCTCCCCCCATTCCTACCCCTGAAGACCCTCACTCTCCTCCATTGCCAAGGCATCTCTCACCGGCACAGGGATGCTGGCAGGAGGCTGAGGCGCCTTCCGCTTCTTGGGAGCCCCTCGCTTCTCGTGGCTGGACACGGAGTTCTGGTGGGAGGGAGCGGAGGAACACACGGGAAACATGCCAGCCTCCCACCTGGCTCAGTCGGCCCACTATGTGTTCCAAGCCCCAGCTCTGGCCTCCCTGCCTGCGTGATCCTGAGCAAGTCCCTGCTCCTGCTGGGCCTCACTTATTCCAGGGTAAAGGGGAATAAGACCACGTTCTCTGAGAACTCCAGGTCTTATGCTTTACTTTCTCATCTTCTTCAGGCTTTGGGACTTTCCCCAGAGAGGCCAGACTGTCTCCAAGTGTCCTTTCCCCCTGGAACTAAGGTGCTGAACGCTGGGCGTGGGAAAGAGGCCAGACCTGCCTCCTCACCTAACTACATCATCCCGCAGGAATCTCAGTGCCCCTCACCCCCGACCCTGTCCCATGATCTGACCCCATCCTTCCCATGCTCTCACCAGTTCTAGGAGTTAATGCTGTGGGTAACGCTGCCACTTGGTGGCAAAGTACCCCAAAGGTAGCATTCTTCCCAAAGATGTCCTTTCAAGTCCTAACCCTGAGGCAGGGGTCCATCTCTTCCTTCTCATCCCACAGAACTTGGGGCAAGGGGAAGGTAGTGTGTGCATAGGGAGGGGGCTCATCCACTGCTTAGAGGTCCATACCTGAGATGAGGCCTCGCCTGAGTCATCCTCTAGGAGAGAAGGGAAGAAAGAAAAGCAGGGTCAGGCACTGTGTTCTAGGGACTCCACTCCCCACCCTAGGAAGGGCATCAGTGAACTCAGGGGACTTTATGGGGGTGGCTCCTGATATCCCAAGAATCAGAACTGTTAAGCTGGGAATCAACTACTTTGGCATAATACTGATAGGAGGAGCCTTGAAACTCTCAAAAAGACAGGACAGTGGCAGCTCCAAATGGGGCAAGTGGGATGCCAATTCTCAGAAAAGACAAAGATGACGCAGGAAAGTAGAGTGGACCCCTAGACTATTCTAAAAGCTCTGGTGCTCCTCGAAACTGTCTAGAGTAGGATCAGGGAGCCATAAAACCTCCTATAATGTAGCATATAGGGATACCTTGAAACTATCCACAGTAGGGAAAGGGGTAGCAAGAAACTGCCTAGAAGGAGGGTGCCTGAAATTGCTTAGAGGTGGGGTTTGCATACCGCTGGGTGGTGAGGGGCGCTGGGCCGCTTCCTGCAGGAGGTGCAGAATAAGTTTGTCCCCTGCCAGGGTGCCGTAGTGAGTAGCGTCCTGGCCCAGTGTGTCCGTGATGCCCGGCTGAGCCCCTCCCTGCAGCAGCACCTCCACTGTTTCAGGGCTGGCCCCCTCACAGGCCAGCATGAGGGCCGTCCTACCAGGAGAGGGGGCTACTGAGAGGGTAAGGACAGCCTCAAACCCCTACACCTTCCTCAACACCCAGCCTGGGTTGAGGAAGGAGGTCAACTAGGTCCCCCGACCAGAGGGGCTAAGAGGCTTCACAGTGTCACACAGGCACACAAGGAAATAGCCAGGAGAGGCGCTCACCTGCCCTGCAGGTCCTGGTCATTCACGGCAGCCCCGTGCTGCAGGAGCAGGCGGCACAGATCTGTGTGACACATCTGAGCTGCTATGAGGAGGGGCGTTGTACCCAACTGGCGGGAGTAGGGTGAGGAATGAAACATCAGAGACCGGCCCTGGGAGGCCGGGAAGCCTATACAACTGTCACCTGAAACTCCCATGCTTTTCAAAGGGCGCCTGGGATACTGCCACGTGTGGCAGTATCTGTCAAGCACAGCATCTTTCCCCAGAAGATCCCAGAGGCTCACCCGGTCTCGGGGATTCAGATGTGCCTTGAAGGAGCAGAGCATTTCTGAGGAAGAGATGCAGCCACCAGCCGCTGGAAAAAGGCAAAAGGAAGATATATATATCTTCCTTTACAGGCAAGGAAACTGAGGCCCAATCAGGTCCATGGTCACCCAGAGGGGTCAGAGGCAGAGCCACCACGATCAGGACCCAGGGCTGCTGACTCCTGGTCCCAAGCGCTTTCACCATTCTACTGTGCTTCTCTCAGGGTAGAACTTCAGGCTGATTTTCGTGTATGCCCCCTCCTTGATTCACCTAGCACTTACCCTGTACCTACTATGCACAAAACCCTCACACAGAGAGCATTAGTGTTTACGAGAGAGATCAGACCTCAGCTGAAGTTGGACAGGCTTCTCGAGGTTTGATCTGACTTCCGTTTTGAAAGTTAAAGAGGGAGGGTATTGGTTACTGTAAGGATAAGGGTTCTGAGCTGGAAGCTGGGTGAGGTTAATATGGGAGATGGTATGGATGCCCAGAGCCTCAAAAAGAGGTGGAAGGGCTTTCTGCTGGGAGGTGTTGCTGGACGAGTCAACAAATTGTGATGTCTGCTGTGTGCCCAAGGGACTACAGGATTGTGTTTGCTGCTATAATTCTAATGCTTAGAACAAAACCTGGTAGTAGCAGGTTCTTGAGAAGTATTTACTGGATGAAAAAAGCCAATGACCCTGGCTGGTATAGCTCAGTGGATTGAGCGCGGGCCTACGAACCAGACAGTTGTGGTTTGATTCCCGGTCAGGGCACATGCCGGGGTTGCAGGCTGGTTCCCTGCAGGCCAGTTCCCAGCAGGGGACCCACGAAAGGCAACCGTACATTGATGTTTCTCTCCTTCTCTCCTTCCCTTCCCCTCTAAAGATAAATAAATAAATAAAAATCTTAAAAAAAAAAAAAAGCCAATGAGCTTCCACAGCGTGACCTAAGGCACTGCTACCACTAGGAGGCAGCATACTACAACCGCAGGGAATAAAATTCTGAAGTGGGCCCAAACGGATTCTCTGTCCCCAAGAGGACGAACACAGTCCTCTAGAGTCATCAGTTAAAGTCATTCCAGAATGTCATGGGCATGGTGCACAGAGGTAGGGCTGAGTTCTGGCTCAAGGAGGTAGGTCCCTTCCCCTTCCTCAGGGACAGAGTTTGAATTGGATGAGTGTAAAGGCTACCTGGACCTCTGGCCTTCCGGAGATTCCCGAGGAGTTCCTCCAAGGAAATTACACTCTGGTCACCCCCCCACCCCCACCACCCTCCCCCCAGCCTGGCATACAGTAGGCTGGGCTTTGGGATCAGACCGCCTAGGTCCTCCCTACTTTTTTGTGGGTGAACCTCAATTACCTTGTCTGTCCAAGGGGATCATTGACCTGTGGCTCAAAGGGTCACTGAGGCCCAGCTCCTGACACACAGTAGGTGCTCAGCAAGGAGGAAAGAGAAGGAAGGCAGGTCCCCAGAGCCCTGGGTAGAATAAGCCCCAAGCCCAGCACCCTCTGGGCCCTGGAGGGCAGGGCAAGGCTGGGTGTACCCACCTGCATGATGCAGAGCTGTCCACCCACTGCTATCCACAATATCCACCACGCAAGATGCCTGGGGAGAGGTTGGGCCAGGTCATTTGAGGAGCTGTTCCTCTTCATTGCTGGTTTCTGTGGGAACTGCCCCTCCTTGGCTCTGCTGTATTCAGGCTTCTTGCCCTACCCCTTCCTCCTCTCCCACTCACCTGCTCTGTGGAGCCTGTCTCTGCAGGGGCCTCTGAGTGACTCTTTGTTTTTATAAAAGTTGATGAGAGAAAGGGGATAGGGAGGAGCTCAGTAAGCAGCTGAGGGTTTGGGGAGTAGATGGGAACTCTAAGAGTACCTGTGGCCAAGGAAGTACCTAGGGCTTGGGAGAAACTGGAGCTCAGGAAATACCTGGCATTGGGGGAATAACTTGTATGTAGGAAGTATCTGGACACTCAGGAAGAAGCAGCTCAGGAGTGAAAGGGGCCAAGAAATCGCTAGGATTCAGGGAGTGCATGGGCTTCATGGAAGTGCTTAAGTCAGGAGCAGTCAGGGCAAGGGAGTATCTGAGACAAGAAAGGAAATGACCTGTAGCAGTTGCTTCAAGCACTGCGGGTGCCCATACTTGGCAGCCAGGTGGAGGGCATTGTAACCTGAAAAGGAGAGAGGATTTAGTAGGGCTCCCAATACTCAGGAAGCTCTGGCTGCTCCCCAGCTTGTGTCAACTATTTGTGATGATTGTTTCCCTGTGTCTAGCAAGTCCCCAAACCCAGGTACTTCTCAAAACCATGCTACTCCCTGTGGTCAGAGACTCTCCAAGCCCCAGCTAGTCTGTCCCAGACAGTCTCATCTCTGTTACACACTCCCACCTACCCTCCAAGCCCTACTGCCCCAGCTGCTTCCCATATCCCCAGCTATTCTACACGCTCAGCCTCACTGAAGTGCTAGCCATGCCCCTCAGAGTGCACAGCTGTTCTGTGTGTCGCACCTAATCCACACACCCTTGCTATTCCATGTGCCAGCTGCGTCCCTGCCTTTGATACTGGACAAATTTGCAGTTACTCTACACATCTTGGCACTATTTGTTGCCTAAAGCTTCAGACATGGCTATGCCCCATGCCTAGTTACTCCCTAAGCCCCAAATACTTCTTATGGCCATGTAATCTATCTCAGTTATTCCCTCAGATGCCTCGTTAAGTCATAAACCCAGATTCTCCTATTCCAGCTACTCCCAGAGCTCCAGCTACCTCTAAACCCCAGCTACTCCACATACTCAGTTACTCTGTCCAAATTCCACTTCTTATTCCCATGCCCCCAGATACTTCTCAAGCTCACATACTCCTCTGTTGCAACTACTTCCTCTGACTCAACCACAAACTGAGTCCCAGCTACTCCTCATCTACAAATTGACTCACCTTGCTTGGTGACAGCAATGGTCCCTGTCCTTGGGCACCAGAGCCTGACACCCTGTGACACCCTGGGGGCACTAAAAGGAACCCCCTCTTTCTCAGCAAGACACTGAGGACGTGAAGTAGGGCCCAGCTGGACCCTCAGGCTGTGTACCTGGTCTGAGTTCCTCCTCCCTCCCCTGGGGCCTGGTGGGCAGTACCTGCCCCATCCGTGCTCATGACGTTGGCGCCGTGTGCCAGCATCACCTCCATACAGCTGGCTGCACCCCTCATAGCTGCCAGGTGGAACCTTGAAGTCATAAGTAAAGGGTCAGCCGTAGGGTGACTAACCCTCAGCCATCACAACCCCCAGGTGTGGGCACTCACGCAGACTTGCCCTCGGGGTCCAGCTTCGTAGGCACCAGACCCTTGCGGACGATGAGGGAGGCCACTCGCGCGGCATCATTGTTCTCCACAGCCTGCAGCAGCCTCTCATCACTTTTGCCCCAGTCCTGGCTCTGTGGGGCACACCCAGAGGACCGTGGCGCCAGGCAGCCACTGCCCCCTTCCCACTACCCCCGGTAGGGGCTTTGGGCTCTCACCGCCCACCCCTGGGCACTTGCCTGGCGCCTGACTCTGGCTGCCGGCTTCGGGATGGGGCAGGGACCACAGGGTGGGCAGGAGCCGAGGTCGGCGGGGCTGAGCCGCAGCTGCGGGGGTTGGGGGGGTCAGGTGGTCCTGACTGGGGTCCTCAGTGTCCTCCCAGCCTGTGCGCCAGGTCCTCTGGCGCCATCACCCCAAATGTCCATCCAAACCCATCGCCAGCATCCTCCCATGAAACCATCCCAGATAAGCCTCCCAGCATCTTTCCTTAAAGTGTCCCCCACACCTAGACCCCAACCTGTCCCTTAGTGAACAGCTACCTGCCCAACGTCGCCTCACCAAACCGACCCACACATCTTTCTGAACTACCATCATAAGTCTTGCCATAGGAAACCTTAAAAGTGTCCCTTTAAATGTCCCTCGGAACCACCCTCTGCCATTGATCCTACCACCACCCCTAAAATGCCACAATCGTGACCCAATGTCCTCCAAAATCTGTTCCCCAAAACCATAGCTTGAAATGCATTCCAAAATGTCTTTCCCAAGTTCTTGATGTGTTCTCTAAAACTGTCCCCCAAATGACTTCATCATCTGTCCCCAAAATGTCCTTCCCTGAAAATCTCTCAAATGTCCTCTGAATTTGTTCTCCAAATGTCAGTATCTTTCCCAAAAATGATCCCCCAAAATAGCATCCAAACTACCCCCTCAATGACCCCTTCCAAAACTGTTCTCCAAAGTGTCCCTTCAAATACAGTCTCAATTATCCTAAGTGTCCCCATTTGTTCTCAAAGTCCCCATCTGTCTCCCCCAAAGCCCCATCCATCCCCCCAACCTCTGCCCCCACCCAGCTCTTCTTCCAGGGGCTGAGGGTGGGGAGGGGTGGGATGGGGGAGAGTTGGGAGCCGAGTCCCACCGGCTCCCAGGCCCCTCCTCTGGCCCTACCGCAGAGGAGTTGGCGGAGCACAGACACAGCTGCTTCATGGCGTCGGTGGCCGGAGGGGCAGGAGGGAGGGACAGGCACTGACAGAGCTCGGTGGTCAGACCTGATAGTGGTGCCAAACCGGCGCTGCCCTCCCTACTCCCTTACCCGCTTGACCCCCTCCCGAGTGCCCCTCCCCCAAGGTAATGGGGCGAGCCGGGAGGGGGCTGGGCAGAAATGGGAGTGTGGGGGTGGGACAGGGGAATGGTGCCGCCCTAGCCCGACCTGACCTGATTTCCAAGAGGAGGCTGCTGCCAAGGGGCCTGGCTCCCTCATCCCTGCAGGCTGCCCACTGGATCTCCACGGACCAGCCTGCCTGCGTGGTCTCCACCTCCTTCAAGCTGGCTGGGAGTGGCATGTGAACTCTCCGCCTGAGCCCTGGACAGACAGAGCCTCCCACCGCCGCCCTGACATCCTGGCTCACTCACCCAGCATTCATTCACTCATTGCCCCATTCATTCACTCATTCAACCCTCATTCATCCATTCATTCAACTGCCAGTGGGGCTCTGCGGTCTGACAGACCTGAATTTGAATCCAGAGTCACACCCTCTGTACCCCCACATGTACTACTACCTGTGTAACTCCACTAAGATACTTACCTGCTTTGGACTTCACTTTCCTCATCTGGGAAATGGGTTTCATAATAAATAGTAGCTACCACAGAGGGTTATTGGAGGACCATGAGGCACTTTATGCAAAGCACTCGGGACATTGCCCAGTAGATGGTAAATGCACCATAAACATGAGTTCACTCATCAAACAAAGATGTGGTTGGCCCTGGTCAGGGTGGCTCAGTTGGTTGGGCGTGAGCCTGCAAACTGAAAGGTTGCAGGTTTGATTTCTGGTCAGGGCACATGCCTGGGTTATGGATTCAGTCCCCAGTCAGGGCGTGTGCAGGAGGCAACTGGTTGAGGTTTGTCTCTCACGCCATTGCTTCTCTCTCCTCTCTTTCCCCCTCCCGTCCCCTCTCTATAGAATCAATAAAAAGAAATTTAAAAAGTTAAAAAAAAAAGAGACGTGTTTGGGCCTGTGTGCATATCTAACACTGAGTCCTGGGGGTGCCGGATGGTAAGTGCTTGGTGAGACCACTGTACGGAGGGGGCACGGCCGTGGGCTCTCACTCCAAGGGGCTTGTCCAAAGAGGAGCCCGAAACGGACCCCTGGGCTCAGGCCTCGGATTTCCAGCTGCCCTGGCCTGTCCTCCTGGGCGGGTCCCCACAGTGCGCCACAGGCACCGCGTCCCCCAGGGGCTCAAGCCAAGTTCTGGCATTATCTGGCCCCTCTCTCTCCCTGACACCGGATCCACCAGGCCAACCCCACCGGCTGTAAACTACCGCAGGTCCAACCCTTCTCGCTTGTGGTCCAGCCCCATCACCAAGCTGGGGATGCCCGCTCCCTGGTCTCTCAGCCTTTGTCCTGGTCCCCTTTGTCCTTTGTCTTTCAGCTTCCTAAAGCCTGCATCAGATACTCCCCACCCCCCACCCCGCCCCCGCACCAAAGTCTTCAGCAACCTCACTCTGCATCAAATGCAGACGGCGCACATGGCCCTGGAAGTTCTAAGGCAGGGAATCTGCAAACTGATCCTTAACTAAATCCCACCCTTGCCTGGTTTGTCAGGTTCGAGAACTCAGAATGGATTTTACGTTTTTAACTAAGGGAGCAGAACTCAAAAGAATAATTTAGTGATGTGTGAAAATCACACGAAATTCACATTTTGGTGTCCATAAAGTTTTTTTTTTAATATTTTTTATTTATTTATCTTTAGAGGGGAAGGGAAGGAGAGAGGGAGAGAAACATCAATGTATGGTTGCCTTTTGTGCATCCCCTGCTGGGAACTGGCCTGCAGGGAACTGGTCTGCAACCCAGGTATGTGCCCTAACTGGGAATCGAACCGCGATTGTCTGGTTCGCAGGCCCGCGCTCAATCCACTGAGCTACACCAGCCAGGCCATAAAGTTTTATTGGAACAGAGCTACGCCGACCCATAAAGATGGCCTATAACTGCTCCCAAGTTGCAATGGCAGAATTGAGGCTGGAGGGTCAAAGAAGCCAAAAATATTTATTGTCTGGCCCTTAACAGGAAAAATGTGCCCACCCCTACTCTAAACACCCGCCCTTGTCAACTCCCTGAGCTCATCTCCCCTACGTTATTTCCCCTGGTCCAATCCATCCTGATGCAGTGGCCTCCCTTTGGGTCCGCAAACAGCTTGGTCCAACCTCCAGGTTTTGCTCTTGCTGTTCTCTCCACCTGAGTACCAACCCTCGGGCACTGTCCTTCGCTACCGTCTGCCCCGAAGACGCCCCTTCAGAGAGCCTGCTCTCACCACTCTTGTCACTCTCTAGCCGCTTAGTAGGGTTTATTTCTCCTCCACTGCTCTTAGCACCATCTGCCATCATACTGTGTACATTCCGAAACATTGTTTCTTTTTTTTTTTCATTCTGTTTCTTCTTGGTCTCTCCCCTAGAATGTCATTTGCACAGGGCAGGGACTCTGGTCTATCACGGTCACTGCTGCATCCCTAGCAGGTGCTGGGGATAGAGTTTGCAGAACCCAGTGCAAAACGAAAATGCGGGGCCTCTTGTTAAAAAGCTATCAGGAATTTCAAGATGGTAAGAGCAGAGTATTAAACCAAACAAACACCTAAACAGCGCCTGGCACACAGTAGGTAATAAGTGTTTGTTGAATGAATTAAAGAAATGGTGACTCTGGTGAGTAAATATGAGAGAAAGAAAGAGGTTTTCCCGGAATCATTGAGGCACTGGGACTCTATGAATCTCTAAAACCCCAATCTTTTTCTTGTGGGATTTTTCTAAAAGCTGAAATAAGGGCAGCAGGCCAGTAGAAGACCAGTTAACTCCTATTTGCTGGATGGAAACACTAAGGCCCAGAGCAAGTACTGCTGTCTGCTGGGGCCTTGAAGAAGAGGCTGGTTTTAGAGAAGCACAATGGACCGGGAGGGCCCGCAGGCAGCAGAAGAGGACTGGAGCAAGGGTGTGAGGGCCAGACCGTGTGCTGAGAAGAGGGGAATAAAAGGTCCGCTGAGACATGAGGTGGGACTTCTGCAGTCATGGGTGTTTGCTTTCTTCCCTTGGGGAGCTGAACAAAGGCTGAACCTGACTCCTGCTGTCTGCTGAGAAACTGGAGCCGGGCAGGTGGAGGGAGAGACGGCAGATGCCATGCCGGATGTGTGTGTTGCCGGGGAGGGAGGGATGCAGGACTAGCTTCTCCCCTCCTTCCTCCCTTAGGCCTCCCAGCTACTACTGCAGTGCACCCAGCCCAACCCAGGCTCCTCCCTGTTATGAGTAAACACTATCCCCCGCCCCCCAGATACCTCCAGAGACCCTCACACTCAGTTTGACATTTTAACACCCGCCAGTCCCTCCTTCTCCCTCCCCCTTGACTTTGTGCCACACACCTATCAAAAAACACCCCTGCCCGGAATTGGGAGTTGTTGTTTTGTTTTTTGGGTTTTTTTTAGTGGCAGAAAACTTTTTGAAAAATTTGATTTCAGTATAATTCTGCTTTTGAAATTAAAGTTATTTGTTTGGCTTACCACTGGCTACAACTTCAGAAATTTTGGGGGACTAATGTGAAAAATCTAAGTTAGGAACTGATCCCAAACTGTAAGAATAAGTTCAGGGTCATCCCACAGGGCATGGAGCTGAGCTCGTGTCCTGTTTTGTAGGAGGTCAGTGAGTCATTAACTCCTTTCTAGTTCTCTCTCTGTTCTCCTTCTCTCTCTCTTTTTTAAAGGTTTTATTTATTTATTTTAAGAGAGAGGGGAAGGGAGGAAAAAAGAGAGGGAGAGAAACATCAATGTGTGGTTGCCTCTTGCGTGTCCCCAGCTGGGGACCTGGTCCACAACCCAGGCCTGTGCCCTGATGGGATTCAAACCAACAGACCCTTTGCTTCACAGTCCAGCACTCAAGCCACTGAGCCACACCAGCCAAGGCTCTTTCTCTATCTTCAATCAATGCACTAGCCCCCTGCCCACCCCCGCCCCCGCAAAAAAAGCCCAAATCATGAGGAAGTCTGGTGTCTCAATTTCAAGCTATGTGACCTTAGGCAAATTTCTTAACCTCTCTAGGCCTCCATTCCTCATCTATAAAGTGGGGATAATAAAAGCTACTACTTCATTAAGAGAATTTAATGTACTAACATTTGCAAAGCACATGGTAAGCTATTTATAGTATTTGAACATAAATAAGTAAAACGAAAATAAATGAAATAAAAATGAATTCAATGATATTCAATTAAAAATTTAATATAAAATTAAAATAAATTTAAGACTGAAAAGGAATGTTGGAGTCAGTACATTACAAGAATAAGTAAAATAAAATAAGTTGAAAAACTGAGGGAGACCACAGAACGGGCGGCAACAGGTCCAAAGTCACACAGCTCGTCAGGGACAGGATTGAAACCCAGAGCCACCTCACTTTAAAACCAGGCTTGTGGCCCTGGCCCCTTTTCTGGCTCTCACTCAAGGGCTCCTCCAGCTGGGCCCTCTCTGCCCTTGGCTGTCCCTCCCTACCTTTGCTCAGGCCAAAAGAACCTGCTGATAATCCCATATGTCCCCAAATCAACCAGGCCCAGTCTACCCTCCGAACCTTTGCCCACACTCCTATGTGACTTCACTTATCTAAATCTTCCCTGTGCTTTGAGGTTCCTCTCCAGAGCTGCCTCCTCCAGGCAGCCTCTCTGATTGCTCTGGGCTATGACTGCTAATGGGAAGCCCTATCATGGGGTAGAAAGACTAAGGGCTCTGAAGTCAGGCATGTTTGAACCTCATGCTGCCACTTTGCTTTGTGTGCTTTCTGACCAGAGGAGGTGAGTTAACCTTTCTGGACCTTGGTTTCTTCGTGCTGTAAGTGGGAAGTCAAGCCTGACTGAGGCCAGTACAAAGGGGCATTGTGACTCTCCATGCAAATGCTCACTTAGGTCTCTTAATCTGTGCCCTGGCCTGGCCTCCACATTGGCAGTGACTGGGGTGGGGGCAGGAGGGAATGGAGGTGACAGAAGAAGAAGCATTTCCCTCTGAGGGTACCCAGTCCAAAATATAGCTGCAAGGGAAGCCAGCTCAATCCCACCTCAGGGCCTTTGCACTGGCCATTCCCTTCACCTAAAACACAGTTTTTCCAAGTAAATACAGAAGTCCCTCCCTCTTTCCCTTCTGATCTGTGCTTTAATGTCAGCTTTTTAACAAGGCTCTTGCTGACGACTCACTTTAAAATTGCAAGTATTGCCCTGGCTGATGTAGCTCAGTGGATTGAGCACGGGCCTATGAACCAGAGGACTGTGGTTCGATTCCCAGTCAGGGCACATGCCTGGGTTGCAGGCCAGTTCCCAGCAGGGGATGCATGAGAGGCAACCACACATTGATATTTCTCTCCCTCTCTCCTTCCCTTCCCTTCTAAAAATAAATAAAGAAAAAAATTTAAAAATTGCAACTATTTCCCCAGACACTCCAATTCACCTTCCTTGATTTCTTTGTTTTGATAGCATGAAATATGCCTTTCAACTCATTTATCTTGTTTAGTATCCATCTCCCCCACCCAAATGTCAGGTCCTGAGGGCAGAGATTTTTGTCTGCCTATTCATTGCTGTTTGTTCTGTGCCAAAACAGTGTCGGATGCAAATGTTTGCTGAATAAATAGTCAAAAGCAAGAGATCCTGGTGAATACAACACAATATGCAGATGATATATTATAGACTTGTACACATGAAATTTATGTAATTTTATTAACCAATGTCACCCCAATAAATTCAATTAAAAAAATTTCCCCACCCTGGCTGGTGTGGCTCAGTGGGTTGGGTGTAGGCCTGTGAACCAAAACGTTGCCAGTTCAATTCCCAGTCAGGGCACATGCCTGGGATGTGAGCCCGGTCCTTACCTGGGGACACGGGAGAGGCAACTGATCGACATATCTCTTGCACATCAAGCTTTCTCTCTCTCTTTCTCCCTCCCTTCCCCTCTCTAAAATAAATAAAGAAAAAAATGTTTTTAAAGTTTCCCAAGGGTAGTTGGCAACTTTATCACATAAAGTATTGAAAATTAAACATGACTTGGAAAAGCAGCTAATATATAACAGTAAAGACAGCTGAATTGTATTTTTAAATCAGTTAAACTCCTTGAATGTGAAATTGCCCCTTTGCCTATTTTAAAAAAAACAACAAAAATCAGTCTCCAAGAAAGTGAGCCCTCAGAACAGCAAGTGGCTGCTGTAACTGGGGAGAACAGAGATCTGCAGGAAGGAGCCAACTTGGGAGGGATGAGGAGGGTTTGGTAGGCACCAGTTTGGGGAGATGGCAGTCCAGGTGGAGGAGCAGCCTGGGCAGAGGTACAGTGGCTGGAAAGCTTGAGCAGGAAACAGTGGGGACATCGGGTCAGCAAGGTGTAGCAGAGAGGAAAGGAAGGGGCAGTGGCCAGAGGATAAAGGGGTACACTTGAACCTGTGGGAGGTGAGGAACTATGGAAGAGTTTTGAACAGAGAGGACTCTGGTCACGTGGAAGCTGCTGAAAGAGTCTGATGGGTAGGGGATAAAGACGCAAGGGCCCAGTGAACCAGCAAGGCTCTGGGGGACAGAAACCTGAGGTTGAGGGACAGCAGAAATCTCAATGGCCTCAGACTCACCTCTGACTTCTTAAATCGAGCCCGGAGAGTTTTCATGGCCAATATCCAATGTTTCTCCTCAACCCAGGCCACCTGGGAAAGGCCAAGGGGTGAAGGACATCAGTCCTGGTGAGCAGGAGGGGCAGCAGCCTTCCCCTCCTCCAAAGGACTGCTTCCTCCTCCCTGGGCCATCCTGGCCCCTGGAGCAGGACACAAACACGCCCCATCTCCTCACTGCTGTGTGTCCTTCAGCAGGTCACTTGCCCTCTCTGAGTTTCACATCTTTCATCCTTAAAGTGAGGAGGATAATCCCCTTTTGCCAACCCATGGTAAGTTTTCAGTGGGGTCCATAGCACAGGGTCAGCAAAGAGTAGGTGCTCAAAAATGCACTTCACCAAGCAGATCAAGCTTGTTCTGGTCTCCAATCTTTTAACTGTGCAGTTATTTCTCCCCCAAATACCTTTATTTTTCCTTCCCTGATGAACTCCTAGTCATTCTTCACACCCCCATTTCAAAATCTCATGTTTTTAATCTATCTGCTTTGCCTTTCACCAATAGGCAAAGCTCTAACTCACCAAACTGGGTTTCCCCAGCCCTAGCTGGGTCCTTTCTTCCCCAGCCATGGCTTCACAAGCTCAAAGTGCCTGGGCTGGTTCTATCATCTTGAACAGTAAAGGGCTCTTTGAGACTCTCAGCATAGAGGCATGTTTCTTGAAAAGTCAGAGCATCCTTGCAGCTAAGTCCCCTTATACCAGCCTAGCTTCTGGGTGAGAGCATGGAGGAAAGTCATTCAAGGTGGGTGGAGTCTGGGGCCACGGTTATATGCACACGTTTGCACACACGTGCACAAGGTGTGTGTGTGCATGCCTGTCTGTGCACCTTTGCCTGTTCCATGTTCCATGCATGTGTAGGAACAGGCAGGTCAGGCAGGGGTCTCTTGGAGGGAATGTTTTGCTAGATGTGTGGCTCAGGATTCCTTCCTATGTCTGAGCAGAATTTCTGTGAAGGTGTGTCTTTCACCTGCCCCTTCACCTGTCGACCTGCCCATGATTCTCTAAGACATCCTTCCTTCTACCTACCCACTCACCTGTGCACCCATCTTCCTATTCTAGTACTTATACATCCACGCACCAACTCAACTGCCCAACTCTTTTTTTGGTCCTTCATGCACCCTTCAACCATGCTTCATTCACCATGCAACCACCATCTACCATCCGCCTGTCCATCCATCCACCCATTCACCCAGCTATGCACTCACACACACATCCAACACCCACCCATCTACTCATCCATCCATCCTCATCCACCTTTCACTGACTTACTAATTTTCTATTCAACTATCCACCTACCTGCCAATCCACCCATTCACTCTTTCATCTACCCACCCCTCCATCAACTGCCCATCAGTTCACTCATCCCTCCAATCTACCCCATTCACTCAATGTACCTCTTCACTCACCACCCACTTCATCCTTTTTCTTTGCTCCTGTCTAAAGAATTCAATCACACCCAGAGAAGAGTGTAATAAGAGACCCAAGAGAGGATTCCACAGGTTGTTGACCAGGTGGGAATATGTGGGCTTGCGGCAGGGGAAGCGCCCTCATCTAGGGAGCTGCTTCCCGAAGAGGTGATGATATATAAGCAGGGCCCGAAGGTCAGGCAGGTTATTAAGCAGCAAGAAAAGAGGGTACATACCCTAGACAAGACCAAGGCTGAGAAGTGCATGCATGAATATGTGTTGGTCAGGGTGCTTGGGTAGCCCCTCAGTGTGGCTGGAATATATACCAGCCCCTCCTTTCTCCCACATGCCAGGGCTCAGGGGCAAGGAGCCCAAGGTCCTAAAAGGAGCCCCCATCCCAGGCCTCCCTTCTCTTCTGCCTCTCCTACCTCCTGTAGCTCCAGTGACTCCAGCACCAGGCCACTGTGTTCACTGCTGGCTCCGGTTACCCACTTCCAGCTGGGCCGCCAGCTCGTACCAGCAACTCCGTACACTCAGCTCTGACACCTGATCAGCTCTGAGCGGGCGGGCGGGCAGCAGCCCCAGGGGGATCGGGGATGAGCTGAAGGAGGAGGCAGATTGGCAGCGGGGCTGCCTGTTGGCCAACGGGATCTAGTGGGAAGACACCAACTTTTCCCCTATCATCGCTGGACCAACTTCCGTTTCTGGAATGAGCCACTCTCTTCTCCTCCCAGCCTTTGCACTTGCTATTCCCTCTGCCAAGAGCAGTCTTTCTGTACCCTGTATCACCCCCAAGTCGCTCACTCTCCCTCTCACTTCTACTCACTCTTCGGATCTTTGCTACATCATCCTCTCCTCCAGGAAGCCTTTCTGGGTGCCTCCAGGCTGTGTCAGGTGCCTCATCTGAGTTTCCTCATCGCCAGGTGCCCTCATTGCACCTCAGCCTCACTAACTCACCATTGCCCAGTCACCGGCTTGTGTCCATCATCAGCCACAAAGTGCTACCTTTGTTCTTCAGTGTTTCCTAAGCACTGACGAAGTCGGTGCTCAACTCCTGTTTCTTAAATGAGTCCCAAAGGCCACCAGCCCCAATGGCCCTGAGCAGTTTCTCTATCCTCTTGCTGCAGTCTGGACTTGCCCTGCTGAGTGGAGATCATCATCCACCTGAATAATATTCAGATTACTTACAGTGGCTTCAAAGACCCTCTCTAGCGAGGCCTCAAGTTGCTCCCCGCCACAGGTACCCTTCACTTGTAACTTTATAAACTTCTGAAATGTGCAACGGAAAGAACGTTAGACTAGAAGCCAGAGTCCTGGGTTCCTTCTCTCCTACTCTGTCCTCAAGGGGGTTGGGGGTGAAAAAGGAGCATAAGTTTACTAATTTATAAAAAGGGGAAATGGTTGTGTCCTTCGTTTTAGAAGTGACTGGAGAACTCTCATGTGTTCTTTAACTTCCCGCCGGGTCACAGCCCCTTTCCCGACCCACACGAGCGTTTAGAAATAGGCCGGCTTCTTTCACCAGCAGTTAAAATGGCGCCTGTGGCGTCAGTGACAGGCGCATGCGCCTTGGGGGAAGTGGCCTGGCAGCTCGTCCTTCTAACGTGTCCCACCCCATTTCCGGCGGAAATGGCCTCAACAAGGGAAACTTTATTGTCCCCGGTGGAGCGGCAAGAATGTCGGTGAATTACGCGGCGGGGCTGTCGCCGTACGCGGACAAGGGCAAGTGCGGCCTCCCAGAGGTGAGTGCGGCCAGCGTCCCTAAGGCTGCGCCTCTCAGGGAAGCGGTCCAGTCAGGGCCGGACGGCAGCGGGGCATTGTGGGACTTTTAGGAGGCATCCAGGCTAGACAATGGGAGGGACTTCCCAGTGAGGAGGGGGTGGGAAGTGACGCCCCTAGCGCGCACTTGGCTGTGAGCAAGTCCAGCCTCAAGTTGGAGGGGGCTGACACGAAAGGAAGGGCCCGCGTCGGCGAAGCACTGAAGTTCTGATGCGGGAGCGAAGGATGTAGTTTTAGGCGGAAGGCACTGCAGGGGCAAAGTCAGGGAGGTAGAAATAAACACGGTTGGAGAACAGATTAAGACGGAGAAGTTTCTCGAGTTAGGCCAGAACGGGCCCCAAATGACAGCCTGGGAGGTTGACACTTTATCCTGCTGATGATGGAGAAAGGTTTGGAGTTGGGCAGGAACAGCTCCAAGGATGGATGTACTGGATGTACCGTATTTTGCTGTGTATAATGCGCATCCGCGATTTGGTCCAAACTTTCAGGGGGGGGAAAGTATTTTGTTTTCATTTTAATCAATTTATTTATTTATTTGTTTGTTTGTTTGTTTATATTTAGATTCTTGTTTTTTGTAGTATAAAATTTTAGTATTTTGAGCATGTTAAGGTACAAGAAATTTTATGTAACAAGTAGTTACAAAACACAAGAAGAGATACAAGGTATTTCAGGTACTACCCATACATAATGCACATCCTTATTTTCCCCTAAAAAATCTGGGCAGAAAGGGCTCATTATACGTGGCAAAATACGGTTGTTATGTGTCAGAAAGGAGAGCTTTCTCTCCATTCACTGAGACTTCGGGCTTGTCACTTCCATTCTGGAGAGAAGTCTTCCCTTTTGTAAATTTGGGAAGGTTGCCTTTATTCCATAAAAGCTCGTCCGTTCATTCTGAGTCAAGGCACTTATGGAGTCAGGTGGTATGAATCCCTCCAGAGGCCCTGCTCCTCTCCTGCTCCTATGGCTTTAGCCCTCAGATATTTATTGAGCACCTGCTGTGCACCAGGCACTTTCTAGGTCCTGGGACCACAGCAGGTAACAAGACAGACAAAACCCCCTCGTTCCAGTGGAGAAAGAGAGAACCAGCAAATAAATACAAGAAGCGAGATGGGAACTAAGGAGGAAAGTACTAAGGAGAAAAGTAGAGCTGAGGGCTACATTGATATCAGGGAGGCACCCCCGAGACGGCTTTTTTTGGTGTTTTCTATTGTCATAAAGTACACCTTTCATACGCTGTGTCATCTTAATGTACATGTAATTTTTTTAAATATATTTATTTATTTATTTATTTTTAGAGAGTGGGGAAGGCAGGGAGAAAGTAAGTGAGAGAAACATCAGTGTGTGGTTGCCTTTGGCCCACCCCCAGTCAGGGACCTGGCCCACAAACCAGGGCTGTGCACATAATTTTTAGGTGTATATTCAGTGGCATTAAGTATATTTATGTTGCACAACCATCCCCACCATACACCTCCAGAACTTCCTCATCTTCCCAAGCTGAAACTCTGCCCTCATTAAACTCTTAACTTCCCCTCCCCCAGCCCCTGGCACCCACCATCTACTTCCTGTCTCTATGGATCTGACTCTCCTCTAGGGACCTCGTAAAGTGGAGTCACACAGTATCTGCCCTTTTGTGTCTGGTTTATTTCATTCAACAATGTCCTCAAAGTTCATCCACATTGTAGCATGTGTCAGAATTTCTTTTCTTATTAAGGCTGAATAAAATCTATTTTCTGGGTGGACATTGAGTTTATCCATTCATTCTTTGGTGGATACTTGGGTTGCTTTCATGTTTTAGCTATTGTAAATAGCCCTGGCTGGTGTGGCTCAGTGGATTAAGTATCAGCCTATAAAGCAAGGGGTCACTGTTTTAATTCCCAGTCAGGGCACATGCCTGGGTTGTAGGCCAGGTCCCCAGTAGGGGGCGTACAAGAGGCAACCACACATTGATGTAAATAATGCTGCTATGAACCTGAGTGTACAAATGAAGTGTCTTGTGAGCCAGGACCTAAAGGAAGTGAGAGAGGGAGTCTAGGAAAAGAGCATTTTGGGCAGTAGGCCACAGAGAGTGGGGAGGACTGGGGCTTTTACACTGAGGAAGGTGGGAGGAGGGCTGTGAGCAGAGGAGGGGCGTGATGACAAACTGCCTTTTCAGATTCACTCTTCTCCCCTAGACAAGGTGGGGCAGTTCAGTCTGTGGCTAGTGGCCTTGCTTCTGTGGGACACATTTTGACCACTCCCCTTGTGCTCTCACACAACAGATCTTCGACCCCCCTGAGGAGTTGGAACGGAAGGTGTGGGAGCTGGCAAAGCTGCTTTGGCAGTCCTCCAGTGTGGTTTTCCACACAGGCGCTGGCATCAGCACGGCCTCAGGCATCCCTGACTTCAGGTCTGTGGGTGTGGAGGGAAGTCGAGGCAGGACCAGTGAGCTACCCAGGACTTCCCTATGAGCTGCAGAGGCCCAGGCATTAGAACCCATCCAGTTGCCTTGCCACTCACTGCGTTCTGAGCAGTTCTGAGCATTCTGAGTGATCTTTCCACCCCTTCAGCATGTGGAATGGGAAAGATCCCTCCTCTTTGGACTTGTATCTTTAAGTCACAACCAACATTTCACTCACCCCATTGGCCAAAACTTGATCACCTGACCATGCCTAGCTACAGTGAATGCTGGGAAATGTAGTCTTTCATCTAGGCTCACTGGGCATAGCTAAATATTGTGGCACTGTTACCCCAGAAGATGGGAAGAATCAGTTAGCTCTACGCTCACTTGCAGATATTTTTCTGTCAGACCTGGTCTGAGTCTCCTCACCCGAGAATGTGGGTTTTAAACCAAATAATGTCTAAACCACCCTCTGCTTCAGGCAGCCTGTATGATAACAATCTTGTAGCTGAAAAGCAGAGTTCTTTTTTTTAAATATTTTATTTATTTATTTTTAGACAATGGAGAAGGGAAGGAGAAAGAATGGGAGAGAAACATCAATGTGTGGTTGCCTCTCATATTTCCCCTACTAGGGACCTGGCCCACAACCCAGGCATGTTTGCTGACTGGGAATCAAACTTGTGACCCTTTGCTTCACAGGCCTGTGCCCAGTCCACTGAGCCACACCAGCCAGGGCCAGAGTTCTTCAACTAGTGGCCCCCAAGTGACTCCTGTAGGTGCTGAGTTTGCAACCCTATCACAAAGGGCAGGCCTATTGCACTTACAGTGTCTTTCCAGGGCCTCTTGGGTCCAGCAGCAGAAGAGTGGGTTCCTTAGAGGAATGTTAGAATTCTAAGGCATGAATCTCCCAGCCCTTCCAGACCCAGCCCCTCCGACTCCCACTGTAACCCTCAGACCATTTGCATTTCTCCAAACTCACAGGCTGTGGCCAGTACCCCGGGCCTTTGCTTGCCCCTTCTGCCTGAACTGCCCTTCCTCTCACAGTTCAAGAGATGGCCCAGTCTCCTCCAGGAAGCCTTTCCATACTTCCCACACACAGCCCTCACCACCTCCACTGGGCCATCCTAGCCCATAGGACATAGGGCTGAAGGGTCTGTGTTCACCTGTGTCTGCCCTACAAGATCAAGGACTCCTCAAGGGCAAGGCCTTGTTCCTCTAGGGCCCCACCATCACCCAGCATAGGGCCAGACAGCAGTAAGTGTTGGTCAAATGGAATAATTAACTTTTCGTCTTGGTGTGCACTCTTCTCTCTCCTTCCTTCCATCCCTCAATCAATCTCTCTCCCCTCTTTCCCCCTTTGTCTGTCTCACTCTCCCTGTCTTTCTCTGTCTCTCTGTCTCCAACTCTCTGTTTCTTTTTATGTCTCCCTCTTTCCCTGATCGCCGAATTCTCTCTGTCTCTCTGCATCTCTCCCCACATGCCATCTTTAGGGGCCCCCATGGTGTCTGGACGATGGAGGAGCAGGGCCTGGCTCCCAAGTTCGACACCACCTTCGAGAGTGCACGGCCTACACAGACCCACATGGCACTGGTGCAGCTGGAACGTGTGGGCCTTCTCCAGTTCCTCGTCAGCCAGAACGTGGACGGGCTGCATGTGCGCTCTGGCTTCCCTAGGTAACACCCAGCTGCCAGCCCCGCTTAGCCCTGGGCAGGCTGTCCCTCTCTCTGGGCCTCAGTTTCCTTATTTGTAAAATGGAGGTTGATGTGGCGATACAGCAAGGCCACAGGGGAAGAGCTCCTGACACTTAATAGGATTTTGCAAAGCAGAGCTGTCATTGTCGGGGTCTCCTGGGCATATCTCAAGAACTGGGGTCCTCTTTTCCAGGTCCCAGGGCAGCTGCAGAATCTCCCTTGAGGTGAGGAGAAGAAATTGGGAGTGGGGAGGAGGGTGGTCAGGGTCTAGTATCTGCAGTTGCATTTTAATACTCCTCCTTAAAACTTTCATACTGAATGTACACACGGGACTGGGGCAGGAAGACTGGTTCCTTAACACCAAGTGCGTCCCCTCCTCACCCGTTTCCCACAGTCCTGCCCTTGAGGACGACAAGGGCCCACCCCAGTCAGCTGTTCACACAAGTAGCCAGACCCTGCATGGGCAGGGGATGAGGAAAAGCACTGGTCTCTGCTTCTGGAGGAGAGTGAGGCAGCTGCCCCCTGCTCTTCTCAGATGGGCCCATACTCCAGCCCTTTGGCACAAAGTTTCTCCAGGAGTCCGGCAACTTTTCTGACCTAGAGATATCACTAAAACCTTCATCCACCCAGACATGGACACACCTCAGAAAGCAAGACCCCAGCCTCCCTGGCTTGGTGACTCTCAGGCCCTATTCCAGGCCGTAACTAGTGGGCATCTTGTTATCTCTCCAATCAGAGTAATTCACTAGATGAATGACTGCACACCTAGCCCTCAGGGCCTGTATGGATGGTTCTAGAAAAGAAAGCACACATTTTCTCATTGCATAGCAAATAGGCTTCTGTGGCCCGGGGCTTTTATAGGAACACAAATCCAGAGGAGTCTGTTCCGCACACACCCACTGAATTGAGTTGGGGCGTGTCGGTGGAATGGGAGTGGAACAGAGCCACCCGCTGGTGTGTTCCTTTCCAGAGATGGAAGGAGTCCCTCGGGGGAGGAGCCGGGAGTGTGTTCAGGGATTTCAGTGCCTCCAGTTTCCTAACTGATGGGCTTTTCGGCAGCCCCCTTGCCTGCTGCACCCAGGCCACCCCAGCACCCACTGCTCACGTCACAGTGGCACCAGTCCGTGTGCGCAGTGGGGAAAACGCCAATCCCTCCTCACTGACTGGGCCACGTGCAACGACTTAGTGAGCGCCTACTGCACACCATACACAGTTTTAGATGTAGGACAGAGCGCACCAGAGAGACAGTCCTGCTTTCCTCACTTGTACCCTAGTGGGAAGCAGACCGGCAGAAAACAAGATAAGTAGGCAGATTAAACTGTATGTCAGACGGTGATCATTGCCACGGAAGAAAAGAGGGTTGGGCAGGGAGTGGGGCTGTGGGGAGTTGCACCTTTTAACAGGGAGGTCAGGTGGCTGTGACACCTGAGCAGGGACATGAAGGAGGTGATAGAGGGAGCCATGGGGAAGAGCCTTCTAGGCCTGATCATTGTTCCCTCAAACATCCCGAGTTGAGTTCAGTCCCATTTCACAGATGGGACTGAAACACAGGTTAAGTGACCTGCCCGAGATCACATAGCAGGAGGCAGCAGAGCCAGGAGTTGACCTCCTAATTCCAGAGCCCACGCTCCAGGGCCACCCACCTCCTCAACTTCTTCCTTTGCAAACTGAGTCCTTCAGACCTCTAGCCCCATCAGGAGGCCCTGCCACACTTATAGGTAGCTTTTATGAATGGAATGGGCTACCTTTGTGTGATGGTGAAGTCAGCTGTGGGGGTTAATGATTCATTAGGTTCAGAGAGGTTGGGCCACCTTCCCGGGGTTGCACAGCTGGAGGAACCAGAAAGAGGGAGTCAGTGGGTCCCATGGATGAGGGGTTTGGGAAGGCTTCCTGGAGGAGGAGGGCTTGTCTTCATACCTGAAGCCTCAGGATTCGGAGAGCTCACTGTACCACCCAACCTCTTCTCCTGCAGGGACAAACTGGCGGAGCTTCACGGGAACATGTTTGTGGAAGAATGTGTCAAGTGTAAGACGTGAGTGTCATGGGAGGGTGTGAGCAGGCAGGCTGTGGTAACCCAGGCCCCCAGCCTGTTTTCTGTCACTTCCCAGGTTGGGATGTGCAAAAGAGTTGCATCTGAGACTGAGAGACTCAGGGTGGGGGGTAGGACTGGGGTCTGATCCTCGAGGGCGGCACGTCTTCCTCCTGGGGAGGTGCATTCATTTCCTGTGGCTGCCACAACAAACAGCCACAAACCAAGTGGCTTAAAACAACAGAAATTTATGTCCACAGTTCTGGAAGCTAGAAGTCCAAAATCAAGGTATTGGCGGGGACACGCTTCCTCCAGAATCTGGAGGGGCAGACCCTTCCAGCCTCTTCCAGCTTCCTCTGGGTTCGGACCTGCCTGGGTCCCCTGGCTGTAGATGCCTCACTCCGACCTCTGCCTCTGCCGTCACATGTCTGTCTGCTCTGTGTCTCCATGTCTCCTGTCTCCATTCTGAAGAGTCTCCATTCTGAAGAGGACTCCAGTCACGTTGGATCAGGGCCACCCTATTCCAGCATGACCTCATATTAGCTCTTTTTTAAAAAAAAAAATATTTATTGCCCTGGCTGGTGTAGCTCAGTGGATTGAGCTCGGGCCTGCGAACCAGACAATCGAGGTTCGAATCCCAGTCAGGGCACATACTGGGTTGCAGGCAGGTTCCCTGCAGGCCAGTTCCCAGCAGGGGACGCATGAAGGCAACCATACATTGATGTTTCTCTCCCTCTCTCCTTCCCTTCCCCTCTACAGATAAATAAATAAAATCTTTAAAAATTTTTTATTTATATTTAGAGAGAGGGGAAGGAAAGGAGAAAGAGTGGGAGAGAAACATCAATGTGTGGTTGCCTCCCACGTGCCCCCCAATGGGAACCCGGCCCGCAACCCAGGCATGTGCCCTGACTGGGAATCAAACCGGTGACCCTTTGCTTCACAGGCCCGTGCCCAATCCACTGAGTTACACCAGCCAGGGCTCATCTTAGCTCTTTACATGTGCAACACCCCTCTTCCAAACGTAGTCACGTTCTAAAGTACCAGGATCAGGACTCCAGTGTGCCTTTTCAGAGCACACAGTCCAGCCCAGGACAGGCTGTGACAGCTGTGACCCAGCTCTGGGAAGGCTGAACCAGAGTCCCTCCTGGAACAGGTGGGCTTTGGGTGTATCTCTCCCTGCAGGGAGACGGCCTCACAGGTACGGCTGACCGTGGGGACGTCAGGGGCAAGTAGCGTGGTCCTGCCAGCACCTCCTGCAGGTGGAACCGTAGAGACCAAGGCGTAAGGGGGTCCCCCACTTGTTTTTTAAAAAATGTTTTTCTCCCAGTTTATTTTGAAAAATTTTTGAGCCAATGGGAAACTCACAAGAACCATATGAAGAACTCACACTTAACCTAGACCGGCAGTGAAACTTTCCTGTAAAGAGCCAGGTGGCAAATGTTTTCAGTTCTGTGGGCCAGGCTGTTTCTGTCACAAAGACTGGCTCTGCCATGGTAGCGAAAAAGCCTCTGTAGACAGCGCTTAAAGGAATGGGGATGACCACGTGACAATAAAACTTTACTTACAAAAATATACCCGGAAGGCTGGATTTGATCCAGGGGACCGCGATCCAGGGGACCGCAGTGTGCTCGCCCCGACTGAGGTTCCCCAGTGTCACCTTTTGCCACAATTTGTTTTCCTTTCTCTCCCTGTGTTTCCAGTATTTGCTGTGTTCAGGAGTAAGGGGAAGACTGACTTGTCCTTTGCCCCCAAACCCTTCAGACATTTGTCTCCCTCCAGTTTCAGCATTCTCTTCCACCCCCACAGTGCAGTTACTAAAATCGATGTCACGTGGCGGTTCAGTCTGCAGTCCATATTCCCAGGCTCCCACTGTTGTTGTTTTTCTCCTGGTCCGAGATCCGAGCCAGGGACACACTCTGCATTTCATTGTCTCGTCTCTTTAGTCTCCTTTGTCTAGAACAGTTCCTGACCTTTCTTTGTTTTCCGTGCTGTTGACATTGTGAAGATGTTTCATGGAAGGCCCCCCTGCCCCTCATTCTGAGCTTGTTGGGTGGGTGTTTGTGCTGACATTCTAGTCATGTGGTCCCCACTTGCCTGGGAAAGTGAGAACCCCCCAAAGCAGGAACCACTGGGTGGGGCCGGAAGGTGGGAAGGTGGTGGCCTTCACCTGCCCCCACCATTCCTCCTTCCTCCTCCAACGTAGGCAGTACGTCCGGGACACTGTCGTGGGCAGCATGGGCCTCAAAGCCACTGGCCGGCTCTGCACAGTGGCCAAGGCAAGGGGCCTGCGGGCCTGCAGGTGAGTGATCCCTGTCCATGCCTTGGAGCCCCAGGGAGGTGGCAGGTCCCCATACTGACCATCCCCCAATCCTCACCATCGCAGGGGGGAGCTGAGAGACACCATCCTGGACTGGGAGGATGCCCTGCCCGAAAGGGACCTCACTCTTGCTGATGACGCCAGCAGGTCTGACCCCCAGATAAACTCAGGGTGGGGCCCACAAGGGAGAGGGGCAAAAGCACACTCAGCTTCAGCATGGGGCGGGGGCTCCAGCTCAGAGGTACAGTCAGGAAAGACTTCCTGGAGGAGGCAGCGGAAACCCACTCTGGGCCTTGATTTCCCTGTAATAATGGCAGCTACTAGTCCTCTCACACACCTGACCCTGGGCCAGGGGCTTCGCAGACACCATACTCACAAGGAAACTGAGGCATTAGCAAGGTGCCTCCTTTGTGCAGCACTACCCAGCCAGCATTCTAACCCAGGAGTCCAAGTGTGGAAGGGCCTGCCCAGCTCAGCAGCTCCCCTCTGCCAGCAGGGTAGGGGGTGGTTCCAGTAGAAGGGAGGCCTGGCTCCCTGGGGTGCACCTGGGCAAATAGCAACAGGGTTTGAGATCCCCTCCCCCCCACTGTGGGGCAGGAGTTGCCTAGAGACTCAGCCCAACCCTGCCTTTCTCCCTGTCCTAGGAATGCGGACCTGTCCATCACGCTGGGCACCTCACTCCAAATCCGGCCCAGTGGGAACCTGCCCCTCGCCACCAAGCGCCGTGGAGGCCGGCTGGTCATTGTCAATCTTCAGCCCACAAAGCACGTACGTGCTGAGCCCATCCCTGACATTTCCCCTGCCCCAAATGAGTCCTCTGCCTCCGCCTGATGACGCATCTCTGCCTCCACAGGACCGCCAGGCCGACCTGCGCATCCACGGCTATGTGGACGAGGTCATGACCCGGCTCATGAAGTACCTGGGCCTGGAGATTCCTACCTGGGATGGCCCACGCGTGCTAGAGAAGGCACTAACACCCCTGCCCCGCCCGCCTGCCCCCAAGCTGGAGCCCAAGGAGGAGTCCCCCACCCAGTTAAATGGCCCATCGCCAGCCAGCCCCAAGCAGGAGCCCACAGCTGAATCCACGGCTCAGCACAATGGTTCCGGGCCTGTGAGCCCCAAAAGGGGGCAGCTGGACAGTCCAGCCCCCCGCAGGACTCCTAAAAGGGTGAAGACTGAGGTGCTTCCCAGCTGACCAGGGGGGCTGGGAGGGCGGGGCTTTTTTCTTCTTCTTCTTACCTATTTCACTTTATTACTTGCCTCTGCCCTGAGGGAGGAGACCTCAGAGCGCTGAGAACTGTGCTGCAGGCCCTTCGGCAGACTTGCTGTCCATTGGGGCTCTTTAGCTCTAGGGGCCTCTGGCAGGGCCGGGGAGGAGCAGTGCTGGCCAGACCAGGAACTTCTAGCTGACACCGCAGGCCCCCGCTCCACCCTGCCTGGCTCAGGACATTCTGGGGAGGCGTGGCTACACCATCCCTCAGTATGGGGCCCAAACAGGAATTAACTCTGCACCCTGGGCCCTCACATCCTGCAACCCCTGCCTCCCTGGAACTGCCTTCATGGCCCCCCGCAGGAGGGAAGGGAGACAGACCTGCCACTTAGGAGCTAACCCTCAAGGTGAAACAGACAACAGAGGTTGTGCCGCCTGCGGGCGCGAAGAAGGCAGGTGGGCCGGCCTGGCTTCCTCTGGCCTCCCAGAAAAGTCTTCAGTGCAATAAAAGCAGAACTTTTTGCATCAGAATCTGTGTTTAAACAGCCTTGCACCAGAGACAGGTCCCAGTCCCTGGGAAGGAGTTTGTGGTTCCTTCGTCCTCTTGGACGTCAGGCTGGGCTTCCGTACAATCCAGGCTTGGGGGTGAAGGAGGGCAGTGCCAGCTGCTGGCATTCTGTAAGCCTTCAATTTGTAATTATGTGCCTATTTGCGTGGTTTTTAAATACTCGCTCTTCTTACTAGGCTGTGAGCCAGAGGAAAGAGGCCACGTCCTTTGGTCCTGATTGTAGCCCTTGGGCACCTGTTAAAAGCTCAGGCACAGCTGGGTTCCCCTCCCCTCCCTAGCTGAAACCTTAGGCGGTCCCTTCACTTCCGGTAGCTCGGTCTCTTAATGGGTAAAATGAACAGGGTGGGCAGCCCATCCCTCCTAGAAAACAGCTCCCCAGCTCCTCCAGGGGTGCTGGTGACATCAGGACCTCAGCTCCACCCGCTGCTGCTCTCCATGGTGCTGAAGATGTTCCCGGCGCCTTGCCGGCCCCTGCTCCATCTTGGATGCCTGAGGACCCCCGACCTCACTCCCCAATTCCAGGCTGGCCCAAGGACCCCCATCTCATCCCACCATCCCAGGCTGGCCCAGCTCCTCCTTCTGAGGGTTTCCCCAACCTCAAACTCCCCAGACTCCAACTCAGCCCTCAGCCTATTCCGCTTCCACTCCAGTCATGTTCTGTCACAATGTTTTATTAAGGATCACAGCAGTCTCAGGGAAGGTGGGAGGTGGCTGTGGGCCACGGCCATCATGAAGCTCAGAGCTCAGCCAGTGCTTAGGGGCCAGGGTCCCTGCAGTCTGACCACCTCCTCCTCCATGCGTGGGAGGGGGCGGGGAGAAGTCTCCAGGCAGGGCCACCGGTGTGGCGTGTTGTGCAGACATGCCTGTCTGGGTCTGTGGGTCACTCAGTATGTGTCTGCCTGTTGCCTTCTGTGCCTGCGCCTGTGTGTGTGTTTCTCAGGCTTTGTGGCCTTATGAGCGCCCTGTGTCTGAGCATCAGTTTCTGTCTGTGTCGGGTCCCTGGGTGTGTAGCCGTGTTTGTGCGTCTCCGTCCTGGCATCTCCGCAGGGGTCTGCCTCACCTCCATCCCCTTGCCTGTCCACTGCAGCACACTGCTGCAGTGCCCCTGGGTGGAGAGGCCCGGGGGCACGTCCAGGTGGTGCTCACAGCTCCTCTCCCACCTCCAGCCCCACACGCCCTGGCCTGAGTGCTGGCTCGGGTGAGGCCCAGTCCAGCAGGGTGGCCCGGCTCAGGTCCTCTGTCCAGTTGCCTGGGACCAGGGTTGACTTGTCCAGTTCCTCTGTCAAGTTGTCCAGAGCCAGCATGTCCTGGGATTCCCAGTGAGCCCTGGGGCTTTCCGGAGACCCTTCCTGGGGACTGCCAGCCTCGGGCTGGGGTCCCGGGGCCTTGGAACTTGGCATGGTGTCAAGGGCCACACGGGAAGCTGCATCGTTGTGCAAAGTTCTGGAGAAAACTGAACAAGAGTTGGGAGTTCATAAACGAAGGAGGGGGGAGGCTGGTGTCCCTTCTTTCCCTCCAGCCAGGGAGCAGTTGCAGGAGTGCTCTTCCCGCCTGTCCTGGAGGCCCAGCGTGGGGACTTGGGGAGCCAAGGGGACTGTGCCCACAGCGCAGCCCACAGTGGACCCTGAAACCATCCTTGTCTACCTACCTCGCACAGGTGCAAAGTCTCCAGGACTCTCAGCTTTGTTGGAGGCGAAAGGGCTGATGGAGGGGAGGACGATGAGGGCGAAAGAGAGCAGCAGGACCTGCCAGAGATGGGGGTGGAGTCACCCCATCTCTCCACTGCCCATGTGAGCACACCCATCTCAGCCGGCAGGGAAACTGAGGCCGTAAAGACTGGATTATGCTTCAACTGGAGCTCAGGCCGTGTGATTCACATTCACCTTCCCCCCTCCCGCAGGCGGGTCTGCCAAGGTCAACGACCTCTTTTATCCTGGGGGCCATCAGACCGAGGGTAGGACTCACAGCTATGCAGGTGCCAGCCTGGGCTGACTTGCTGGTGGATTGGAGCACAATGGCCTGGAGTTTCTTCAGCTGCTCCAGGAGGGACCTTAGCAGAAATGAGCAGCCTTCACTGAGCCCATCCTGGGTTCCCATCCATTTCCGGGATCCCGCAGCACAGCTGATGTCTGAATTCCCTCCATCCCGCAAGGCCCCACTGCTCTTACCAGTCTCAGACACTTCTTCGTTTTGATAAATCTCCGTGACATCGCCCCCACTTCTCTGCCACTGTAACTCCCCCATCCAGGCCTCCAGGACCACCAACCTGGACGCCTGCCCAAGCCTCCTCTCTGGTCCACCCCACCACTCACCCTCCCCCGACACACCTCCCTCTCCTGCCCCCACTCAGCCACCAGGGGATGCTTTTCAAAAGCAAACAGCTTCACCCAACCCACTCAGGACTCCCACCTCCCTCAAGTCCTCCCTGCAACAAAGTCCTGCACAACCTGCCCTGTCCCTTCCTTGCCCTCACCTCCCTCCTCTCTCCACTTTGCTCACTCTGCTGCAACCACACAGGCCTCCTCCCTATTCCTCCAGGGTGCCAGGCACTGTCCTGCCCCAGGATCTTTGCACAGACAATTCCTTCTAAGGATGCCTTTCCCCCAGGTCTTGTAGCTGGAACTGAAAGGTCGCTGGTTCAATTCCTAGTCAGGGCATGTGCCTGGGTTGTGGGCCAGGTCCCCAGGTGGGGGCAGCGTGTGAGAGGAAATTGATAAATGTTCTCTCACACATCAATGTTTTTCTCCCTCTCTTTCTCCCTCCTTTCACCTCTCTCTAAAAGTAAATAAGTAAATCATTTAAAAAATAAAATAAAATAGCCCTTCACCCTGCTTTATGTTTCTTCCCAGCAGCTGTCACTATTTGTGTGATCTTTTATATATTTTCATTTGTCTTGAGTATGTCTCCCACTAGACTCTGAATTCTTTTCAGTGGAGGGACTAAACTTCTTTGTTCACTGCTGTGGCCCCAGTGCCAGAACTATGCCTGATGCAGCTCAGGTGCTAAGTGAGGTGAGTAGATGGACACGCCCTTGGGTGGGATTATGTGCAGCACCTGGCACCTGTGCTCCAGCCTCCAGCCATTCATCTCCACCACAGCAGCTTCCCCCCAGGAACTCTTATACACCCTTCAAGGCCCCAGATCCAAATCTCCTCCCCTATGTAGCCAGCCCCCTTTCTAGGTGAAACCCTTACCCCCTGCTCTGTCCTGCCATCACAGAAGATGCCCCCCGCTACTGTCCACCTCTCCTGCTGGGGATTTGGGGGCTGGCTTCCCGGGTTGGACCAAGACTCACAGGTTCTGCTTCTCAAGATGCAAGACTTTCCTCTGAAGCTCCTGGTTCTGGGCAGTGCAGGCTGACATCCTGGAGGGACAATGTTACAGTGATATGCAGAATATGACGGTCACCAACTCTCCCAATCGCAGATTCCTGTGAGGCCCCACTTTATGGGCAGGGAACGCAAGACCAAAGAAGGGAAATCCCTTGTTCAAAGTTGTCCTGGCAAGTCTGAAAGAGTGAGCCCAAGTCCGCCAGGTTCCCAGCTCCCATCTCCACATTGGTGTGGGGGCTTCGCTCCAGTGTGAGCCCCCAGGGTTGGAACAGAAGGCAGAAAGTCAGGCTGTAATGCTTCCAGAAGGTGGAATAACAGGGTGGCTGGGAGTCCGAGGAGAACCAAGGTACAACCCTCCCTGCAATCTTGAGCCATCAGCTCTCTGGCCTCAGTCTCCCAGTTTTTAAGACAGTGTTACAGTGACCTAGTTCACAGGGTGGTTGGGAGAACAGCATGAGTTCAAGCTGACTAGGGGCTTAGTAAATTGCATTTGAGGAGCAAGACAATGATGATTGTTCCACCTGGGGTGCTGGGGTCCAGACTGGGGACCCCGCCCTTCCCACCTGCATCCATCTGAGAACAGGGTCATGGCCCAGACCACTCAGCTGTGGAGCTGAATGACTCTGGTAAGGGCATGAGCATGTGTCCATCCTCCTATTGCAACCAGGGCAGAGGAGAAATCCCCTTACTGAAGGGTCTTCCTTCTACATAACTCGCAAGATAAAGAAGAATTAAGTTATAGGAAACCCAGGGTGCACACGGAAATGACAGTAATACAAATGAAAACATGCAAGATGCAGCTTAGGTGATGCTGAGGGGGAAATGTATTGCCTTAATTCAGCTCAGTGAGGTAAACATGCCCATCTAAAAACTACCAAACAGCCCTGGCTGGTGTGGCTCAGTGGACTGAACACTGGCCTGTGAACCAAAGGGTTGCTGGTTTGAGTCCCAGCCAGGGCACATGCCTGGGTTACAGGCTAGGCTCTCAGGAGGGGGTGGGTGATAGGCAACCACACATTGATGTTTCTCTCCCTCTCTTTCTCCTTCCCTTCTCTCCAAAAATAAAATCTTTAAAAAATAATAAATAAAAACTAGCAAACAAACAACAGCATAGACTCTACCCACAGGAAAAAACGTCTAGGAAGGACATAACAAACTTAGAGTAGAAATGAAAGACCTAGAAAAGAAAAATACAGCTGCGTGGGAGGAAAAGCCAGAAATCCACTCCTTGCAAAGAATAATAAAATACACAAACTTCTGGCAAGACCGATCAGGAAGATGAAAGAGAAAGAGAAGGTGCAGATAAACAAATGAATTATTAAACAGGTTCAATGTAGACAGTTCAGAACTTTAAAAATAATAGGAGAGAAGTATAAATCATTTTATGTCAATAAAATGACATAAAGTATAACACCCCAGAAAAATGTAACATCCCCACGCAGACCCAGCCATAAATAGAAAACCCCAGCAGACCTGTAACATTCCATAAAGCCACGCTGAGCAGTCACAACAGCTCTGAGGACCAGTGATCCCAGAAAAGGACAATTAACGCTCCCATCACCCCATGACCTGGCACGGAACCAGGGCAAGATGCCTAATAATAACCTCCCCCTTTCTTGGCACCA